TTTAACGCTTAGCATAGAGTTCTCAGAGCTGAGATATTTTCCCGCAGTAAAAAGTATCCTATATGTTGACCCGGATAACCAGCTATCATCATACCAAATTTCATCAACATTTGTCTAATAATAAAATTCTAACTGATTCGATTCTGTACATTAAATTTTGGAAAATGTTCTTGAAATAGTCATTAGTATAATATTTGTCTGTCTGTCTGGGAACGCATCACGAGAAAACCACTGGGGGATGAAATTAAAGATAAAAGATTAAACCGTAAGTACTATATATATACGAAAGTATATGAGTTAGTTAGTTTGAGTTTGAAGTAAAAACATACCATGTATTTTGTATCTGCATCGGCCGCATTGGGGCAAATTTTGGCCTAGTATAGATTTCGTTTTGCAGTAAAGCAACAGGTGGTTGCTTTAGTACACTATATACATATAGGTTAAGCCCGCAATTTTGCTTGTATTTTTTTCTAATCAATCCACAATTTTTAATTGATCTTTCGTATTTTGTCGCGATTTTTTATCTCGTATTTTTTTTTCTTGATATTTCGAATGCTTTACAACAATCATGGTCACGGGAGAGACTAAATATTGTTAAAGATGAACCCCGCTTGCCCTATAATGATGTTGGGTTAAAACTTCAAACAAAACTTTTGTATTTACTCAATATATTCAAATTCCACGAAATTTTGTGTCTGTGTGTTTGTCTTCTCCTTGTATGGACTCAACTGATTTAGGTGAAATTTTGATATCTTATATCCTGAAAACACATGGCTTACTTCGACATGCTACAACTCGAGCATAATTGTCGGGAATAACTAATATTAATAAAAAATTAAGCTATATTAAAATTTAATTTCATTTTTCATTTCACACCCTCGGGGGTGTCGATGAAATAGACAGACAGACGTACAAGTTAAATTGTAGATTAACATGTACATGTGTATGTATAAAAAATATTTCATAGCCTTGACCCCGTTCTAGTTTTATTTCTCAAGTGGACGTAAGTGGTGAAATATGGAACCGTAGACGTAAAATATGCTTAAATAAACTAGACAAATCACATTAGTATCAAAAAATTTGCAAGTTTGTATGTGTGTAGGATTGTTACTCCTTCAATTTGAAACGGCTGGACCGATTAGGATGAAGTTCAGCACATAGATAGACTATGAGCTGGAATAACATATAGGTTAATGTTATTTAAGGATACACCAGAGCAAAGTGAATGAAAGTCGCTAGTAAGCATTAAAAATCAAAACTGGGTGCATTATTTTTGATTTTACAATAATATTGAAGTGAAACTTCTTTAGAATCGTTGTGATTTGAAACTCTATGAAACGAAAATGCGACACGAGAAAGAGACAAATACATAAATATATAGGATTAAGCCGGCGAGAGAATGAGATATATATTGTAAAGGAAGTGAAAAATAATACTGAATAATATGTTACATACTATATGTTAAATAAAATGTAAAATAAGTTTTAAACTTGGTAAAAAAACTAAACCCTACAACGATCCTACTCCTGATACACTATATATATCCATCTCACTCTCTCATAGGATACTTTTCTGAAGTGTCACTTCTACCGTTTGTGAATTGCACATACACGCGCTTTTTTTTCTTAAGCCATAAACCATCCCGACATTTTAGAAATATCTTCATATTTGTTATCTATGAATTTATGGAAACCGAGTGTCGTTTTTAAGGATTGAATTGTAAAAAGTAATTACAGTAATATTAAATTATCGCGCTACTATAGTTAAAGTAATAATCAGTAATATTTTGCTTGGGAAACCAAGTGAAGCGGGTTCAAATCCCGGGTCTCGCACCTCTGATATTTTCATGTGCGAATCATTTCCAACATGATCACCACTTGTCTCACGGCGAAGGAGAAGATCGTGAGGAAACCTGCATGTCTGAGAGAACCTAGCAAGTTGTCTGCAGACATGCTCAGTCCGCGCCCACTTCCGCGTGGGGGACTGTGGCCTGATCCCCCGAGTATTGAAGGCCTGGCAGTGGGACGTTAAAAAAACTAAAGTTCGAATTCGATCAAAAATCAAAGAAAATTACTTGTGTGCGGTAAAAATGACCTCGGAAAGTGTTAACGAATCATTTTGAAGAATTTAATTTTAAAATCTAATATTTATCTACTACTTGTAGGTATTCGTTTGTAAATATATACTAGGGTTTTCCCATGGCTCTACTCGCTTAGTTTATTTATGTACATGAAAAACAAAAACAAATCTAGCCCACGGGAACCGTAAATTTTTCCTGGATAAAAAGTAACCTATGTGCTATTCCAGACAATACATCAACAACAACAATCTATCTCTGTGTCAAATTTCATCCAGATCCGTTCAGCCGTTCTGGCGTGATTGAGTAACAAACATCCATCCAAACTTTCGCATTTATAATATTAAATTAGTTATTGGGATTTCATCCACTCCTAAGGTTTATAACGTGATATTAGATAATCTTCAACAATGAATCCATGCTAATATTATATATGTGACAGTAACTCAGTCTGATACCTTTTCTCGCTTAAACCGCTGATTGATTCAATATTAATGTACCTCGGAGACCTCCTCGCAACCCATGTCCTTTCTTTAAGACTAATAACACTCCAACGAAACTTGGACAGAATGCTCCAATAGCACGTATATCACGTATACAATGAATGTGTAAAAAAAACTTTATAAAAAAAACCGACTTCTAGGCACTAAAATGTAAAAAAAAAACTAAATGGGGGATTTCATTTAGAATAGATACCTAATCAGATATTTTCGAAGTCGGTGCCAGCCGATGCAAAGCAAATCTAATATATTTCGATACGTAAAACACATATATTATTAAAATACCTCAATTCATATCTATATTCATCAGATGAATATCTTAAAATATTGTCGGCTGGTACCTACATCGAAAATATCTGATTAGGTATCTATTCTAAACAAAATCTCCGTTTAATTTTTTTTACATTTTAGTGCCTGGAAGTCGGTTTTTAGTTTTTTTTTTTAAGTTTTTATTTTTCCATTTTTACTGTAGACGTAATAAGCAGGTAATTTGTAAGAAGAAAGTTTTTTAATAACATATTCGATTAAACAATTTATTTAAAAAGGATATTTATTGTTGATTTTTTAATGGGACCACCTGGAAAGTATAACCTTTGAAACAAAAAAAATCCAAATCGGTTCAGGCGTCTTCGGGTAATCGGTGAACATACATAAAAAAGAAAAGATTCCGACGAATTGAGAACCTCTTCATTTTTGGAAGTTGCTTAAAAAGCATACCACTGGTCATTGCTTGTGACGAGCTCTCAATTTTTGTGAAAAAATATAACGACACTTTAGCAAATAAATTAATCGTTTATTTTTTATAATACCTAAATATATATATTTTTTACATAAATTATTATATCTTTTATTATTTTTAAACTTATTTTTATAGTAATTAAGTAAGGAATTGTTAATCACTTTACTTGATAGGCATTTTTTCTTAAAATTATAGTCATTTTTTGTTATAGAATGATGTGTTCTATATATAATTGGTAGTACATAGTAATTTAAATAGATGTTAAGCATGTGTTAGATGTAAGTTAATATGTGCAACTGTTGGAAATCCATAAAAATTGGAGATCTATACAAATAAATAAATAAACAGATTTCGATAAAATTTGGCAAAGACATAGATTGCATCCTAGGGAAGTAGCCAAGCCTTTGATTCCCCATTTACACGTGAAAAGCCGCAGGCAACAACAACAAGGTAAGGTATAAAATGCAAAAATATTTTTTTTATCAAGCTATTTATTAGTTCCAAAGAATAGAGCGATCGAACAAACTTTTTATAGGCTATCTAACATCGTGCTATGACCCTTAGGTATAGATCCTAAAATTTACATAAATAAAGGATGATTTCCGGGATAAAAACTATCCTATGTCCTTCCCAGGGTCTCAAACTATCTTCTTAACAATTTTCATCTAAATTGGTTCAGTAGTTTCTGAGCCTATCTGATACAAACAAACAAAAAAAAATCTTTACTCTTTATAATATTAAAAATAAAAAAAGTATAGATACAGACACAAAAACTTCATCAAAACAGGCGCTTTCAAAATCATTTTCCATAACGCGAATTGCGAAAGTGATTTTCTTAGTATGAAAGAGAAAATCACTTAAAACTTCTTTCTCTACTTGTTAAACAAATAATAATATGGTGGAACATTACACACAGCAACATCTAGTTCCATGGTAAGCTACGAGACTTGTGTTATGGATACCAGATAGTTGATACACTATACATATATAACTTTAAATACATACATATTATAAATATAAACACCCATGAGTAGAGTATAAACATTCGTGCTCATCACACAAATGAATGCCCCCAGCGGGATTCAAACCCACGATCGCTGGCACAGCAAGTAGAGTCACTGAGCCAAATGTGTCGTCTGAATGAAAAAAAACCTTTGAGTTAATAAGTAGAGTTTCGGAAAAGTGTACTAACTATGAACTCAATTCTTAATAAGGTAAGTAATTTAATTGTATATGGCCTGATAATGGGTCGATATTGTAACTACGTTTGTATGTAGAGAAGCAATCATTATGAAGTGACATTTTGACATTTGAAGCTTTATACGAACTGTCAAATATTAGACCCTTTTATTTATTAAAAAACCTTAAATCAATCTAAGTAAATATAAGCGAAAATTAAAATATTATGTAATATTTACAATATCTTTACCATTATGTAATATTTAAATGAAATGAGAAACTCTATTAAAATTGGACTATCTACATAATTTTAGGTAGAGTCGATTTTTTTTAATTTACATCCAAACCTTTGACTATAAAAAAATAATCGGTCAGAAAAACCTCAATGCGGTATTAGTGTTGCCATTTTAAAATCGAAAAACAATAGCATGCGCGCGCATCGACATCGACCCGATAACAGCTATCGCTAGTGTAGTTCCGACCGCCGGCCCGGTCGGACGTATAGATGGGGGAATTACAATATCCCGGCGCACCTAGCGTCGTTGAAGATGAACGTCAGTACCGCGCACCTTTCAGACGAGCCCCCCAATACAGGTGGCCTGCCCCCCAACCACCTCAGCCCTCAGCTTTCGCCCCATGGAGACGGGCCCCTGCACCTCCAAGACCTCCAGATTACAGACGCAGTGCATCATACCCTGGAAAACCAGATGAACCTTACCAGGTATTACATATCAAATGTAGAGTTCATAATTAATCTAAAAATTCCATATGCGCTATTTACATATATAGAAAATGTAATTCAATCTTTGTGTTTGTTGAATTTTTTTTTATCCAAAGATTTTGTTTTAAATACGATTTTGTGGTATTTTTTGTAAAATTAAGGATTTTCGTATGTAGAGCAAACAGACAAAGCTGAAGGCGAGAGTGTATAATGAAAATAAACATCTATTATAATGCATATTTCACTTGACTTGACGTTTGTATGTGACACGTACAAAAGTATACACCGTTCAATGGGTTATATGTATTACATCAGTGCCTGGAAATTACATGTAGAGTTTGAAAATAGTTTATTAACATCAAAAATTAGACGAAAATTAGTCGTTCTTTTTTCATTTTTTAATTAATAAGTATTTTAGAAAGCTCAGGATATTAGAATTTTCGTGGATTTTTTAAACGTTTGTTACATTTTTGCCTATATTTGGCTATTTCGCTTGTATTTATATAAAGCTCTATCTAAAAAAATTATCGTCCTACGGTTTGCTGGAAAGTACGACGCAAAAATTCAATTACCTACAGCGTAAATTGTTTTTTTTTTAATTTCCATAGATATTGCGTATTATTCAATACCATTATTATAGTATAATAAATGCGAAAATTTGGATGGATGTATGTTTGTTACTCAATCACGCCAGAACGGCTGAGCGGATCTGGATTAAATTTGGCACAGAGATAGATTATAGTCTGGAATATTATATAGGTTACCTATTATTACGGAAAAATGTACGGTTCCCGTGGGATAGATTTGTTTTTCACTATGAGTAAGCCCGAGCGAAGCGAAAAAATGCAACTCACCCTTAGTTGCTAGTTTTTCATAAAAAAGTTTTTCCTTCTATGGTAATTGTTCAACCTTGATCTCTAGAAAAGATTTTTATAATGTAAATTTTATAGGTTTTCTAAGTATTTTTTATTACTATTAGGTGTTTAACTAATAACTGTTAGTATGTGGTTGCGGATCGATTTATTTTTTCTTATAGGAAAAGGGACCAATCTTTGTCTTTTTTATTGGGTTCTAAAATGTATAATTAATTGCTCTTTCTATTGGCTAAGTTTTACCAAAAATCCCTATTTTTCACTTTCAAATATGGACCGATTAGCTTTGATTTAGAATAGTCGTTATTTTTAATTTTAAAGATTATGTTATAATATACAATTTCGGTCAATGTAACTTTAAAAATAGCAGATTTTCATATGAAATATAATATTTCAACCCCTTTCCTAGGCCTTTAGGGGTTGAATTTCCAAAAATCCTATCTCAGCGGTTACCTAATACCTATGAGGAATCTATCTGAAAAAAAATCAAGTTTGTACCATTTATACTTCCTGAGATTTCGTAAATTAATCAGTGAGTGGTATTTTGCCTTTATATATAAAGATTTTCTGATATTTAATTTGTTTCTCTTTATATATGATTTTTTCTGGAGTTTTAATAGTTATTCTGCTATTCGGAGTGATGAAAAATCCAACGAAACAAAGATCATAAAAATCGGTCCAGTAGTTTTTTAGTTATAGGTGTTGTAACAAACCCGACTTGGTTTTATATTGTAAGAATTTGTATGAGTTATACAAATATTTGTCGCAGATTCACTGTATTTTACATGTTTTATGTACTGTGGCTTTCAACATGTTTTAGAGGATAATAGGTAATTTCTTAGATTGACGCGAATACTTGAAATATTAAATCAAACTACCTTTTCGGATTTTTTCAGCAGGAGAGTCTCTCCCGTGACCATGATTGCTGTAAAGCATTCGAAACGTCAGGAACCAAAAATGAAAATAAATCCGTGAAAAAATCCGAAAAAATAGTGTTGTTTAAAATGTTTTAGAGGATTTTTGATCCAATTTAAAAAGAAAAAGATTACAAAATCTTCCTCGATAATTATACATGGATTTCCACGGTTTTTTTTAAAGTATTGAGTTAATTTTTTAAATATATTTTAAGGATATATTCCCCCATTAAAGAGGAAATAATCGATTTTAAATCATAGAAGTAATTATTCGACCTCTCGCGACGGAATTTTTTCTTGATTTTTTTAATGAATCTATTTATAAATTGGCAAAGACTAAACAGCTCAGTACCTTTTTCTCCTCTATTTGTCAAACGATTTTTTTTAATTAGCTATAGATTTTTAGTGTTATCAATAAAACATTTTGGAAACAGTTTTTTTATCTATACATATAATAAAATTCTGAGTTGAATGTGTACTTTAAATATTTTTTTGAATATCTTATTGAAATAGTCATTATTATCGATATAGAGACGGAATCTATAGTTTTTAGAATTTTCGCCTGTCTGATGTTTTGATGAAATTTGGTATGCTGATAGCTGATAGTGATTTATTTATGGTATCCATATCATTATGGAAAATTTGAGAAAAACATAGGCACCTATATGAACATAATTTATATGTTTACTAGCGTACTTAGTTTTAAGGTTAGTATAGATTTCTCAGAGATGAGTTATTTTCCCGCAGTAAAACGTATCCTATATATTGACCCGGATAACCAGCTATCTTCTTCTTCTTCTCCCTGCCGATCTCTTGGGGTCGGTACATCTTCTGTACTGCTGATAGGATTTGGCAAAAGTTTTACGACCGGCCGTCTTACGCCGCCATCAACCCTAGACAGACAAACAAACAAACATTCTAAAAACTATAGATTCGGTCTCTGTATCGATATTAATGATTATTTCAATAAGATTTTTCAAAAAATATTTAATGTGCAGATTCGACTCAGAATTTTATTATATGTACATAATATATACAATGTATTATACAATGGTAATTCACAATCAGTATTCAGGTAATCTATGTTAATTAAAATCAGACCACTTTAGAACCGACGGACCGATTTAACTCATTTATATTTTGAAATATGTTTTGCAACTAAATAAGGTTTTTAAGGGAAAAATGCAAATGTTCAAAGAAATTTTTTGATTTTTGGGCCAACATTGAAGTAGTTTTTTTTTCTATTGGATTTTTATGTATCAAATATCACAAGCACATTATGTCTAATTCCTATCGCTAGTAAGGAAAACCACAGACTGCAGACAGATTTATTGAGCATTATTTATTTCTAACGATCTATCCCACGGGAACTGTACCTTTTTCCGGGATAAAAAGTTATATATGAGCTATTTTAGACTATAATATATGTCTGTGCCAAATTTCAACCAGATCAGCTCAGTCGTTCTGGCATGATTGAGTAACAAACATCCATACTCACAAACTTTCACATTTATAATATTAGTATGAAAGTAAGACCGTGACCGAAAGCGGTCAGGAAAAGGGGGGGATCTAAATATAGGTTTTTTGGGCCGTAGCCTAGGCCCCCTTAGTTATAACGGGCCCCCTATTGTTAACAATGAATAATATTGTGAATTTATAGAATAAAAAATTATATAAAAGAACGCCATAAAAGGTTGACCCAATAACCTTGAGATCAATCAACTAGAACCAAACAATTGATTTATCTTAATTTCGTCTAGTATCATCTGTTATTATGGATTTTAAAAGACAAAGTTGTCAGTCATACAAGTTGATTGTCATTTAGATCCCCACGAAGTTTTAAAAAAAACTATCTTTTCGGATTTTTTCGCGGATTTATTTTGATTTTTGGTTCCGGAGGTATCGAATGCTTTACAGCAATCATGGTCACGGCAGAGACTAAGGTTTTAGATGTCTCAAAAGCATTATATAGTTGTTACAGAAACCCTACCCACAAAATAACAAAATTAATTCAAAAAATTTGAAAATTAGCACCAAAGTATCTTACAATATTTGTTAATTTGAATTTTAAACTTAATAAATATTGCAAGGTATTTTTAGCATATTTATTACATTTTTTTAGAAAACTTTATTAATTAGAAAATCCAAATAAATCCGCGAAAAAATCGGAAAAGATAGTTTTATTTAATATGTCAAATATTCGCGTAAATCTAAGCAAACCTCCACGAAGTGTTAATCAAGGGCCCCCCAAATTCACGGTCGGCCCCCGGTCACGAATATGAAATTAAAAAGCAAAGAAAAACATATAAATATGCGCCGCAGAGGTAATACTCTGACGACGTTATGGCGATCGATACCGTAACTAGGTCACAGTCGGTTGTGTGACACTAATGCGATGGGGTCGGGATTCGAGTTTGGATACGGTTTCTTTTAATATTACTAGACTAGTTAATATGCGTGCTTTGTTAACGTCAGGTCTGTATTTTTTAGTATATTTACTAGCGACTCGCCCTTGCTTCGCTCGGGTTCGTTCCTAGATACGTTTTAACTTTTAATATATATTTCTCCTAGATGAGATTTTTTCCCGCATTAAAAAGTATCCTATATGTTGACCCGGATAACCAGCTATCATCATACCAAATTTCATCAAAATCCCTCTTGTGGTTTTTCCGTGATGCGGTAACAGACAGACAGAGAGACAAAAATTCTAAAAACTATAGATTCGGCCTCTGTATTGATAAAAATGTCTATTTCAATAAGATTTTCAAAAAAATATTTAATGTACAGATTCGGCTAAGTTACAATTTTATTATATGAAGAGATGATGATAAAGCCTTGTTCAATAAACGGGCCACCTAGTGCTAAAAGAATTTTTCAAATTAGATTAGTAGTTCCTGAGATTAGCACCTTCAAACAAACAAACTCTGCCTTTTTATATTAGTATAGACTAATGACTTAGCCTTGCTTTGCTCGACATCCCTATACCTTAGTCTATGTCCTCTGTGTACCGAATTTCGTCTAAATCTGTCCAACCATAAACGCCATACAAATTTTCGTATTAATAATAAAAAGTATGATCATTTATTGATCGACTTCAAATATTAGATACTCAATTCATTTTAATTTTTGTATGTTGGTATATAGGTATGTTACGAGATAATTTCGTCTATAATTGTATAGATTTTGATAAATTTTTTATGAATAGGTAACCTCA